GGCATAACAGCAGTTTGAATGCAGGCTTTGGCGAGGCAGATGGCTCCTATTTTACTTAAGAAAAAGAGAGCTGTTTTGTTATAAGGAGTCAAGGACTTCTGGGTTCTCGATGGTGGATGGTGGGAAAGCTGGTAAGAAGGTAGACCAGACTTCCCTATAGAACCTAGCACCCAGGATAGGAGCCTCTGCTCTCAGCTATCTACCTGGCCCTGGCTTCCGGGAGCCATGGAAACCGCTGGGAGGAGGGGGACACCAGAGTCCTCCCAACCTCATTTCAATGGCAGAAATGGACTTGACAGTAGGCCAAGCTAAGGGGGTGGAATCTAGGGGCAGGGACACTCGGGCTTGGTCGTCTCTGACACTTGAAAAGGCCCCGGAATCTCTATATTGGGGGAGGGGGGGTGTACTTGGGTGGCAGGGAACTAGGAACTGATTTTGAGGATGCCTTGACGCATCCCATTTTTACTTAGCTTCGGCTGAAGTAAAGAACCGGGCAGCTCCTCAAACCACGCCGTCAGGGCTGGTTAGGGGGAGGCAGGGACCTAGGACTTGAGGGACCTCGGCAGCTCTGGAGGGGATGGCTCCGCTCGGCCGCGCCCAGCCCTGAGGAGGGCGGCCGGAGGGACGCTCTGCTCTGCGCCTCCCGCGCGCCCCGACCCGGCCGGCGTGGGAGCAATTGGCGGGCCCTCGGGTCCGCGCCCGGAGCGGCGCCTGCGGGGCTGGGGGTGCACGCTCACACCCCGCGAGGTCTCCAAAGGGCTCGGCCTTGGGCTCTCTATTCTGGGAAACAGGACTCAGCGCGGGGCAGTGGGTGGGAGGGTTTTGTTGCTCGCGGGGCCGTCGAGTGACTCGGAAGAATGGCCCGTGAGGCCTGACAGCGGCGGGGCGCGGGGTCTGCGCCGGCGGCCCCGCACACTGCCCCACCTCCCTCAGAGAGTGTGGTCTTGTTTCTTCCTTCATGGAAGCGGGAGTGAGGGCCGCCTTCCTGAGCCTCGGGCCCGCCAGGTCTCACGGAGGCGACGGCGTAACAATGGCCTGCGCGCGAGGCGGGTGTGCGCCGTCGGGGTCGGGGCGGCCGAGCGAGCTGAGCCCCGGGGCCAAGTCGTGGCTCCATCTTTCTGCTCCGAGCGCCCGCCGGCAGAGACAGCTCCCTCCGAGTCTCGGAAGGCTCCGCGCTCCGCGAAAGGGAAGGGGGCGGGCCGGGGATGTCCTTAGGATTTCCCGGAACCAGTCTCCATCCGCTCGGCAAGGAAGGCGGGTCCTCCAGAGCCTTCGAGTCGGGGGCTAGAGCGGCCAGGCGACGGCTGCGTCACGCGAGGGGCGGGGCCGCCGCGGGCGGAGGCTGCGGCCGGAAGCGGAAGAGGCGCTGGGAGCGGGAAGTGGGGCCTAGTCGCCGCCGGAGCCCCAGAGACGGTAAATGTGGTCCCAGATTTATCGCGGCCCGGTGGGCTCGCCGGATGCGGGTCCCTGGGTTCCCGAGCTGGGGTCGGCCTGCTCCTTATTCTCTTTGGCCATCGCAGGCCCAGAGTCCCGACGCCCGGGTCCCCGACCTCTCACCCCTGACCCGCCGCTTTCCCCCCGGGGGGCGGTCACCGTGGACCCCGATCTCGATTCCGCGGTGTCGGAGTCCGAACCTGAGCGGCCTCTGAGGCCCCTGAAGGGATTCCATTTCTGCCCTGCAACTGTCTGCGGAATGGGGTCGGGTGCCACTTAGACTCACCTAGAGGGGCTTTCAGGACCCTCCTCTACTCCCGGCTCGAGGCTTGGTCCGCACTCTCCTCCCCTCACGGCCTGGAGTTTGATTCCAACCCGGGCTGGCTTCCTCCGCCCGCCCCGCCCTGCTCTTTGCCTCGCCGGGCGGCGGTTAGGGGGGACGAAGCTTAGATCTCTGGGGCCAGGGGCGGCAGGAAGGGCCGCGAGCGAGGGCCACAGGCCCCCGGGTGTTTTATTGTGTTGATGGAGCCGCTTCAGTCCGGGGGAGGGGCTAGGCCCAGCTGACAGTACCAGTGTCCGGGCTGCTCCCGTCCGGAGCCTGTGCTGTGGTTCCGGGTGCGGGCACTCTGGTGTGGAGCTGGGGTGGCAATTGCCTGAGCCAGGCCCCTTGACGTGGTGGAGTTGGCGGCCTTCCAGCTTCCCTTCTCCATGTCCTTGAAAAGGAGTGTTCACTCGGTGGTGGCGGCTTGCAAGGTGGCAGGTTTGAAATTGCAGTGGTGGAGCAGCGTCAGCCAAAAATAACCATGGGGCACTAGGGTGGCTGGGATCTGGAGGGCAGTCGCTGACCTGGCTGGCTGCTCTTGTCAGCCCAGTTCACTGGCCAGGAAGAGCAAGTGAGAAGCCTGCTAGGTCTGTGCTCAGAGGAAAGCTGGCACGCTCTGCCTGGTTTCCTTCATTGTGTAGAGCAGATTCTTCTTTAGTATGATTGTGGCCCTTAGCTTCTTTAAATAACCTGTTTGCTGGGTTTTCAGAGAATGATGATTGAAGAGAAATGGGTCCTAGAGCCCTGGCTGGGAATATAATGAGGGGCACTAGATAGACCTGGACTTACCTGCCTAGAATGTATTGAAGGAGAGGCTATTTCCCTGTGATTGCCTTGTGTGAAGTACTTTATAGCTTGTCATGTCTTTTGCCAAGTTGGCTGGGAGATGTTATCTGCATTTTCCAGGTATAGTCAATGGTAACCAAGAGCTAGAGTGGCTTGGTCAGGAGACCAGCACTGTCAGGTTTTCTACCCAGAGCTCTCCTCCCCATAGTCCCTTGGAAGATATTTAAAAAATGCCCTTAAGGCATTTAACACAGACTTAGGTATTATCTAAAATCTTTTTTTAAATATATTTTTATTTCAGAGAGGAAGGAAGAAGCGGGGAGAGAGGGAGGGATGGAGAAAGGGAAGGAGTAGGGGGGAGAGAGAGAGAGATACATCAGTGATGAGAGAGAATCATTGATCAGCTGCCTCCTGCCTGCCACTCACCCCCACCCCCCACTGGGGATTCAGCCCGAAACCCAGGCATGTGCCCTGACTGGGAATTGAACTCTGACCTGATAGGTTGAAGCTCAACCACTGTACCATGCCAACTGGGCTACGTAGAACCTTTTTAACATTAATGAAGAACTGCCTTCAGTACCTCTTGTGGGCACAGACTTGGGTTAGACATTTGACCTAAAAAGCTAGGCATCTTAGTAAAGGGATGACATACTATAATCCTCACAGAACCCTGTAAGGGATTACCCCAGCTGTCAGAGGAAGCGGAAGGTCAGTAGTTTAATAACTTGCCTTAAAGGCACAGGTCTACAAGTGGCATTGCCATCTATCTGACACTGAAGCTGTGCTCTTTCCTCTAACATGAACATATGTTGACTTAAGAATCTTCTAGGTTCCAGGAGGGAGTCTTTGGCCTGGTGTGGACCAGACCGTGTCCTTTGTCTGCCAGTGAGGATGGGCAGGGCATCTATCCTTGCCACTGGAGGAGCATCTGTGCCACTTAGGGACATGTGAGATACCCACACCTTCATTTCATAGCTTGGGCACCTGACCCAGGGTAATTGCAGGAAAACAGTGAAACATTAGTCAGCTGATCATCAAAACAGAACACCATTCTAAGTACTTGAGGAGCTGTGGGTAATTTTACATAGTATTTACCTGCAAGAATTGCTAGGACCTGGACTTCCAGGTAGATGGGATGAAACCTGCTCATGGGTGACTGAGGGCAGAGACTTTCTTAGGATCACAGAGAAGCTCCCAGAAGTTTTGTCATATATGCCTCACTGCTCTGTACATTCCATTTTGCTCTTTTTCCTGACAGACTTCTCATGAGATGGGGCAGTTTCAGTGAGTTTGTCCAAAATGTGCTTGGTCAGGCAAACCAAGACTGACCACCATTGGAGGTTGGCTGTGTCCAAGTGAAGGGTTGGCTGTGTCCAAGTGAAGTGTTGGGAGTAAGGATGGCCATGGTCTCTGGCCCAGCCTTCCCATGGAGGCAAGCAATGTCAGGGTTTTTGGGGTGGGTGGAACAAGAAGCTGGCCTCACATAGCTCTTTCTCCGCTGGTGGCTGATACAGCCTGGTAACTTCCTGTAGCGGATATTGGTCCTTGTTGAGCAAGCATAGTGACGTGGGCCCTTTTGGCATGCCTCTCTGAGCACATCAACCCGAGATGGGCACAGGAGAAAAGTCCCAGAGCAGAGGATCTAGGAGAGGGACAGTACTGTTGGCTAGAGGTAAAGCACTGCCCAGTATGGCACTGAAGGTGTCTGGGTGGTGCTGAATGGGTGTTGGGCGAAACACTTGGGTGCTCTGTCCTAGCATCTTTACTGGTGCTGACCCCGAGTATGGACAGCAAGGGCTGGCCAGACCACTATATCTACTGGGCCAGACCCTTAGGTGGGCTAGGGAATGTTTGTGAGACCTTTGTACACCTTTTTCTCCAAGAGCTGGTCTGGTCTTGTTTCTGCCTGTAGCTCCTCATACAACTTGTGGTCCTTGCTTCTTTGAGTGGGGTCCAGTTCAGGGCCTCCACAGGCACCTGGGCTGTTCAACTTGAGCACTTTCACCCTTGGCTCCTATGTGTTGGCACCCTGCCAACAGCCATCTGACTCTGGCTTGACAGAACAGGTGCTTCATAGGACCCCACAGACAGGCAAGAGGGAATTGAGCATAGGAGGCTTCCCTTTCTCCCCATCTCTTGTGATGGCGCTTACCAGCCCCTCCCTGGTTCCGTCCATCTCAACACCTGTCCTGGCTCACCTGGTTCCCCAAGAGCTCAGACCAATCAGTGCTGCTATGCTGGGGAGGCAGCTTTTTGTTTGTTCATTGGCAGAGAAAGGATGTTACCTATTGTCTGCTCTTTGACCACTGTGACCTCAGAGTTCTTTTTCACTTCATAAAGCCCTGAGGGGCTGCCTCCAATGGAACAATGGACGTCTTCTTCAGGAGTGCCTAGGCTGCTCAGGCAACCAGGTGGCTGGCTGCATGGTTAGCAGGACTGTCCATTTCTTGTGGCCTAGATGCATCACTGTAAGCGATACCGCTCCCCTGAGCCAGACCCATACCTGAGCTACCGATGGAAGAGAAGGAGGTCTTACAGTCGGGAGCACGAAGGGAGACTGCGATATCCATCTCGAAGGGAGCCTCCACCCCGGAGATCTCGGTCCAGAAGGTGAGAGGGAACTGGGTCAAAAGGAAGGGCTCCTTCCCTCATCTGGGCCTGGGAGACGGTGGAGGCCTGTGGCAGCCCTGGGCTCCTTCAAGTGACTGCTGCCTCTGCTTGCTTGGCTGCACCTAGATCACTGCCCTGTCCTCTTTGGATTCCTCCCCTGATTTCAGCTGCATTCCCTGGCCTCAGTGTTCGCTCCCATTCTTGCTGCCCCTGCTTTCTCTGTCCTTGAGTCTTTCTTCCTGCACACACTTCATTTTCTAGGTTAGGCCAGCATTTCCCCTGCTAACCTCTGAGCTTTCCTTAATGGGGATTAGAAACAACTTTAGTTCTTTCTAGAGGTTGGCCCCTAGTCCTGTCTCAATCCCAGACCAAAATTATGGCCTCAGCAGGCCACAGGGAGTTCGAGGCATTGGAACCCGTGGAGGTTCTTCCCTAGGACCACTCCCCAGCTCTCTGCCTCCTGTGCCACTGAAGGGATGCCATCAGTAGCTGAGGTTCTGGAGGCTGGACTTCATATGCATATACCTCCCCTCCTCCACTTCCCTTAGTCTCACCACATATCTCTTTGCCTTACAGCAGGAACCTGGCTGGAGGGTGGAAGGGCCTCATCTGACCAATGTCCCTTTGACCCTCTTGGCAGCCATGACCGCTTACCCTACCAGAGGCGGTACCGGGAACGCCGTGATAGTGACACATATCGATGTGAAGAGCGGAGCCCATCTTTTGGAGAGGACTACTATGGATCTTCACGTTCCCATCATCGTCGACGGTCCCGGGATAGGGAGCCATACCGGACTCGCAAACATGCCCACCATTGCCACAAACGCCGCACCAGGTCTTGTAGCAGTGCCTCCTCGGTGAGTGGTGGCCAGAGTGTGCTTGCTGGGGCTTTAAGGCCTCATCCGATCGTAGCCCTTTCTCAGGTTGGCTGGCCTGGGTGAGTACTGCTAGCCCTGCACACGTGCATTTGGTGTGCGTGCGTGCGTGTGTTTGTGTATGTCGTCTGGTTTAGGTCCAGGGCTGAGCAAAGGGCCTGGCTTCTCTATCTTCTGGCCCTTTGGCAGTGTCAGCTGTACGGGCTCTGGTTGCGGCACTGGCAGGCTCCTGACCTGTCTTGTCTCCACATTGCCCAGGTTCAGGCTGCTTGGGTGCAAGTGGCCAGGAATACTTCTTAAGAACCCTAACAGGATTGCTGGTGTATGGTCTGGAGCTGTATGGCCTGGTCCTTCCCACTGAGAGATTGCCTCCACACATAGCTCAGTGCTCTGACTGGTGTGGATTGTACCCACACCTGCAGCCTCTCTTCCACCCCCCTCCCCAAAAGCCCGGAGGCTGGAGTGCCTATGGGTAGGGGAGAGTCTTCTTATCAGCTCAGGCTGGGAGCTTCCCTTCTGACCTCCAGCCAGGCCTTCTTCAGCCTAGCTTCTTCGCAGGAGAGGCAGTCAAGATGAGGGATGAGCTGCCTGTGGGGTGGGACACGTACAAAGAAATGACAGAAAGGCCTACAACCCTAGGCCTTGTCCAGTTGCAGGTCACTTGCCAGGAACAGGGCCTGGTGGTGTTTCTATTGCGCAAGGTTATGTAGATCTCTGCCGAGACCTGGAGCCCACACTGTAGTCACACCTCTGGGAAGGAAAGCCTGTGGTGTGTCTTCGAGGTTATGTGCTGTTTTATCCCCTTCCCTCCCTCCCTCCCTCCCTCCCTCCCTCCCTCCCTCCCTCCCTCCCTCCCTCCCTCCCTCCCTCCCTCCCTCCCTTTTACCAGCCATGAGGCCCCTGAGGAGTAGTGGTGGAACTGATGGAGGGGCCAGGCATCTTCTCTGCTGAGTTCTCCAGTGACTACTTTGAGTGGTCATGGTTTGCAGGTTGACTGTGCATCCATCATGCTTGGTGGTCTCTCTACACACAGCCACACACTGCCACAGGAGGGCAGTAAAGGTCTCTGGCTCTGTGTCTCTTTTGGTGCCCTCTATTGTCATGAGGCTCAGGATGCGCCTGGCCTATGAGTAGCATGGGTGCCATGGCAGGAGCTGGCTTGGGGCCTGTGTGGGTCATCATGGTAGGAGGCCTGGAGGTTGACCAGCCAAGAGAATCTCTGGCTCCTTCCCTGTTTGAGGTTGGTGGCAAAAAGGTTGCTGATGAAGGCCATTTCTGGTGATGAAGTCTGGCCATGGATGCTGTCTGGAGGCCTGTAGTAGCTTGGCTTTGAGTGGCAGCTGTCGAGTATGTGCAGGGCTGTGTGGGCAAGACAGAGGCACGCAAAGACAGGCTAGGCATTCTGCAGCTGAAGCCAGCGTGGCCTCTGGCCATTCTGGATGATGGACCAAGGCTTGGGACAGCCACATTCTTGCGCCGTTTTCACTGCATCTTCACCCTGGCCGAAGCACACTGGGTGGGTCCGGGAGGGGAACACTTAATAGCGAAGGGTGTCAAGGCTGTGGCTCTCCACATGGCCCGGCCCCTCAGCAGCAGAGGCTGGTCGTCTTTCTGAGCGTCCAAGTTGTCTTTACATACCTGTAGCTGTTTTTACTTTTCTGTTTTTGAAGTCAGTTTGTGTCTTGACGTGTCCCTTGCAATATCCCTATCGTTATATATGCTGTGTGCCTTATGAAATGCTGGGATCTGGAAAATCCAACCAACCAACCCACCGGCTCCTCACCGTCTCCACCTCTGCCTTTGACTGACACCTCAATCTGTCAATCGGAACCGCCTACCATGCGATTGGTCGGATGGCGTTTCGGGGGGCGGTGCATGCAGAGAAGCCAACAGAGCAGTAAGCGCAGCAGCCGGAGTGTGGAAGATGACAAGGAGGGCCACCTGGTGTGCCGGATCGGCGATTGGCTCCAAGAGCGATGTACAGCCACCTTTCGTAAAACTTTACCTCTCTACTTTCTACCCCCCTGTTAGACCAGACCTCTCCTGCCCGGAGGGGCCTCTAGTGCGCGTGGTGCCTTAGTGGGGCCACCAGTAATTGCCTGAATGACACAAACACTAGCAACTTCTGTTTTTAAGAGTGTAGCAGTGAGAGAGAAACCTTTTTTGTTTTTGAGATTTTGAATGCTGTGAACTTGCAGGAGCTGCCGACCCTCTGCCCTCCAGTCCCTCATGCCCTGCTTCTTTTCTCTCCTAGATGAGATTGTGGGGAACCTGGGCGAAGGCACCTTTGGCAAGGTGGTGGAGTGCTTGGACCATGCCAGGTGAGCTGTGGCTGCAAAGTGCTTAAACACCTTGGACCCAAGAGGTTAGGGTTGGGATCAGTGAGCATAGGGTCATGTAAACGATGCCATGACCGGAGAGAGAACTGGCAGATCTGAGAGATGTGACACATGGTGGCAGCTAAGCTCTCTGGGCTGTGCCACTCTTGAGTAGCTAGACGGAAAATTAACTTCTGGAGTCATTATGGGGCAGGACAGGGCTCAGGGTCCTTACAGGGACTCAAAGGGAATCAGCCAGTGGGGTTGTGAAGAGGTAGAATTCAGCTCAGGAAAAGGGCCTTTCAGTCCTGATCAGGCTTCCACAGGCAGCCTCCCTGTGTTGAAGGTTGGGACGCCATCAGGAGATCCTGTTCTAGGGGGAGGCTGGTGGCCTCCTATGAGGTCTTTTCCTGTCTTGAAAATCTGAGAAAATGAGATTTTCTCTTGGGAGAGAAAAGCAGGGTGGGGAGTATCCGACCCTTGGGCTGTATGAGGCCCGGGAAATCATTTGGTGTGGTCCTTCTAAGACATCAGGGGTAAGTTAATTAAATGTTCGACCAAATACAGCAGGCTAATGCTTAAGTTGACAATCTTATGTGGCCTGCCAGTGATGTTATAAATATCCAAATGGCCCTTGGCAGAAAAATGGTTCCCTACCCTTGCTCTAGAAGATACCTCTTCCCTGGGGCCTGTGAGCTTTTCCTAGGCACCAAGGTAAGTCTCCCAGAAGTCTCAGAGGCTACACCCTTGCAGGACAGAGCTGCTTGTTCGTTCCCAGCCCAGCCTCTGAATTCTGGCTGTTCCAGCCTCATTGGTCATCCTACAAGTCACCTCTGGGGGTAAGGGTGAGGCTTGGAGGATGCAGAACAGGAATTGTTAAAATCTTCACTGGACACTCAATGAGTTCTGATAAATACTTGGCTGGTAGGCAGGTGGGACTGGAGGGAATGTGGTAAAGGGAACAGCCCTTGGCCTCCTAGTGAGAGGCCCCTACTCTGGGCACCATTACCCCTTGCCAGGCCTTCACTTCATCCTGGAACCCCCATCCCAGGGGGAAATATTTGTCCATTTTTGCAGACGTGATTAGGAAGGTCAGGAGACAGCCTGACAGGGATCGAGGCTGACTCGCATACAGATTGGGTTATTACTGAATGAGCTCTGGGACCGGTGTTGGTCAGTGGGAGAGGCCTCTACACCTCAGCCCACTCTTTCCTGGGAGCTGGGAGGCAGCTGAGACCATAAGAGCCTAAGGTGCTAGCGGAGCCTGCTGTTTGGAGAGTAGAGGTCTGAGGTTGCATGGGACAGCCTGGGCATCAAGGATCTGTTCTCAGAGTAGACCTGACCCTTGAGTTCTGGTTGGTGTCTGCCAAGAGTTGCTGGGTTGGGGTGGAATGTTGGGGAAGAGCTGGGCAGCTTTTCATGAAACCTCTGCTTCTTTCCCTGGTGCCAGAGGGAAGTCTCAAGTTGCCCTGAAGATCATTCGCAATGTGGGCAAGTATCGGGAGGCTGCTCGGCTAGAAATCAACGTTCTCAAAAAAATCAAGGAAAAGGACAAAGAGAACAAGTTGTGAGTGTCAGCAAGGAGTGATGAAAGCATTCACTGGGGACAGCATCCTCTCTAACCCTAATTCCCTGGACCCTTCTGGGGCTGAGCAGTAGTATCCTCTCAGTTGATTGGCATAATGCCTTCTCTGTGCGCTCAGAACTAGGGGAATTGGATAAGTGATTCTTGTTGGAAGGAGCCTTTGGATTCCGGCTCATGTTTTACCACAACCAGCTCTGAGTTCTGAAGCAGGCCTCCCAGCCCTGTGGGCCTTTCTGAATGTGATGGGCACTAGACAGAATGTGAACTGGAAGCTGGGGCTCACATAATCAGACACCCAAAGGAGAGCCACCTTTGGCATATGGATGCTGAGCCCTGCGGACTCAGGAATTTCCATTGAGATAGTTGAAAAAGGCACTGCTAGTCCTGTGGAGTATCTTGGCATCATTCTATCTGTTTTTGGAGATGCAGGGATTATGCCCAATACCTTATGTAAGTGAGATAGGAGATCTCAAATCAAAATGCCCTCCCCAGCCTACCCCCCACATAGCATTTAGTTCTTGCTCAGAACTGATCTGGGTGATGGCTGGTGGGGTGGGAGATGTACTCTTGCTGTTAACTGATCCTCTTTATGTGTTGTGGTGTGACCCAGTGGCCTGGGAGGGAGTGCGGATTGGCTTCATCTGAGGGAAGAGGGGTGGGGTAGCCATCCAGCCCCCTGAGCACAGCCTGAACCCCATCCGTGTTTCTCCCCTAGCTTGTGCGTCTTGATGTCTGACTGGTTTAATTTCCACGGTCACATGTGCATTGCCTTTGAGCTCCTGGGCAAGAACACCTTTGAGTTCCTGAAGGAGAATAATTTCCAGCCTTACCCCCTACCACATGTCCGGCACATGGCCTACCAGCTCTGCCACGCCCTTAGATGTAAGTGTCACACTCAAATGGAGCATGGGGCGGGTTACATACCTGGCGGGAATGTCATCTGGCTCTTCCCCACTCACTCTGGCACACTGCTAACCATTCTGCTGAGCCTGGGACATATCAGGGACCCTTTGACTGAAAGGCATTTACGTATGAATCTGTGCAGGTAGAGAGGCTAGTTTTCTCTAGGGGCCTCTTGAGCCAGCCTCTACCCACAAGCACTCAGGAAGAAAGAGCGCACTGCTCTAGAAATTTCCTGTTCCCACCTTCCTGCAGAAGATGAAAAGGTCCAAGTGACCTGAGAGATCCACCCACAGCTCCTGCTTACACGGACACCAACTACTACTTCCCATCTGCCTCCTTGGTTGACTGCACCCAGCATTGCAGAATTTGTGGTGGTTGGAGCAGGACAGGAGGTCGATAGACCTAGAGCAGGGACTATGTAGATGGAGGGGACAGTGAAGAGCACTCCAAGCAAGGCAAGTCCTCAGTGAATGGCCTGGATCTAGCACATGCTGACGCTCATGAAAAAGGGCCCATGCTGGGGAGAGGTGGGCCACGCTGCTGTGAGCGTCTTGAGTGCCAGATGGGAGCCTGAGTCTGAAAATGCTGGGATAAGGATTGGAGGAAAAAGGAAGATTCCCTGCTTAGGACTAGGGATGAGAAGAGGCAAGGCTGGCTTCGTGGATGTTACTGTATTTGGTTTAATACTCTGCTGCCACCAGCTTGACACTTAATTTGTTAATAAGAGGACCTGCATTTTCACTCGGTAGCCCCGGAAAATGATGTAGCTAGTGCTGGGGATATGGAACCACCCCAAGGCTAATGCTGTAGCTTTGGTGAGAGACCAGGCTGAGGCCTGGCTCCTGCAGGGAGAGGTGGAGGGAGGTGTTTTGAATTAAAAGTCCTGGTGTGTCCCCCCCGGCATCTTCTCAAGCATTCAAACCCTCCAAGTCCCCAAGCACAGAGGGAAGCCAGTGTAAAGGCAGAGCTGTGTCTGTTCCTTCAGTCACTGTGAGGGTCTCTGGCAGACTGGCTTTGGAGGATGGATCTGGCCTAGAGCTGACAGGAGCCAGAGACCCAGTTTCTCCCTCTCTCTTGCCTCTCCAGTTCTACATGAGAACCAACTGACCCACACAGACTTGAAGCCAGAGAACATCCTGTTCGTGAATTCTGAGTTTGAAACGCTCTACAATGAGCATAAGGTATTGATGGGAAGAGGGTGAGGCCCCACTCCCGAGCGAGGCTACCCATTGGGACAGAGGTCTGATCTGGCTCTCCTTGCCTCTCAGAGCTGTGAGGAGAAGTCAGTGAAGAACACCAGCATCCGAGTTGCTGACTTCGGCAGTGCTACCTTTGACCATGAGCATCACACTACCATTGTGGCCACTCGTCATTACCGCCCACCTGAGGTGATCCTTGGTGAGTGGCTATACAGCCCCCAGCCCAGACAAAGTGGGCTCTTCCTGGGAGGGAGTGAACAGAGGCAATGGTGTGCCTGCATGCCACCCACTATGACTGCTTGCCAGTCACTGGTTGTCAACTTGGCCTGGCAGAGAAAGGGACCTGTACTGGGGTTTGGGCAAGAGTCCTGTCAACCAGTTTGGCTGCTGCCTTCTGACCTCTAGGGTGAGAGCACAGAGCCTCATAGCCTCTCCATTTTGGCCTTCAGAGTTGGGCTGGGCACAGCCCTGTGACGTCTGGAGCATTGGCTGCATTCTCTTCGAATACTACCGGGGCTTCACACTCTTCCAGGTAAGGCCCCTCCCATACTGCCCTGCTACCCTGGGTGCTCATACTCTGGCAGGCCACAGCGGCCTGGTGTGGGATGGTCATCCAAGACCCATCAGTCAGCATATTGTGAGACTGAGAGTGGTAGGTGCTCAGAGAAAGGAAAAGGTTAGGATAGCTGAAGCACACAGGGAGTCTTAAGGTCAGCCATCAAGGATGAAGGGTCGGGATTCAAAAGAGTGAATGTTAGAGGCATGAGGCACAGCATACGTGAGGGTGGAGAGGTGGGCTGGGGTAGTTTGCGTTCTTGGGAATGAGAAACATGGCCTTATCCTTGGCAAAGGTAGCAGGCTGCCGCAAGGTCACAGAAACTGGGAAGGCACTGTTTTTCTCTCTTATCCTCCCTGAGGGGCTGAGGCTGTACTGAACCCTGTTTGCTCTATCCCTGACCTTCCATAGACTCACGAAAACCGAGAACATTTGGTGATGATGGAGAAGATCCTAGGGCCCATCCCATCACACATGATCCATCGAACTAGGTAAGGAGCCCTGGACCATAGATTTTCCCATTTTGCTTGTGGGTCAACAAGCTACTGCAGTCTTTGCAGATGCTGTGTTTCATCCAGGCTCATAACTTTCCCTGTATGCCCCTCTGAATGGCCTGACAGACCTGCTGGGCAGTCTAGGGTTTCCTGCCTGGCTTTGCTGCCATTCCCCAGGCTCCTGCTATCTTCCTCACCCCCACCCCCAAGTGATCTGTTTCTTCCTTTTCAGGAAGCAGAAATATTTTTACAAAGGCGGCCTGGTTTGGGATGAGAACAGCTCTGATGGCCGGTATGTGAAGGAGAACTGCAAACCTCTGAAGGTCAGTTTCTGGCTCCCCCCAGCTCAACTCATGCCCAAGGCACTGGGCATACATATAGCAGACAGGCCAGGCAGCTGAAGGTTGCCCTTTGCCTGGTTCTATGGGAGGCTGTTGGGTGCTGGTAATGGGCTCCTTTCAAACTGCTCCAGAGGGGTTCTTAGCCCTGCCCCTTCCCAACAAGGTGGCTATGAGTGTAATGGGGAACACCAGAAGAGCCAAGTATCAGAGACTCTACTACTTCCAGCCCCCCTCTTCTCTCAATTTTGGGAAAAACTAGGCAGGTCTGAGGTGAGGGGGAGGGAAGTAGACATGACCAGGAAGCCTCTGTCAACTGCATTTGATGCACGGACAGTAAATTTCACAGAGGTGATTTCTGCCTACCTGTCAGGACTTGGCATGTGGGGCAGAGGCACCAAACCAGCAAAACATCCAGTAGCCTGACAAGTTCAGAGCAAAATGCTTTAACAGGCATAAAAGAAAAGAGCCACTTATCGTCCGAGAGGGCACAGTCCTCCAGAAGGCATCACTGCCTCCTCAACCCATGTAGCAAGGCTTCCCACATCCCTGCCCTCACACTGAGATACCTTGTGTCCCTGAGCAGAGTTACATGCTCCAAGACTCCCTGGAGCACGTGCAGCTGTTTGACCTGATGAGGAGGATGTTAGAGTTTGACCCTGCCCAGCGCATCACACTGGCGGAGGCCCTGCTGCACCCCTTCTTTGCTGGCCTGACCCCTGAGGAGCGGTCCTTCCACACCAGCCGCAACCCCAGCAGATGACAGGCACAGGCCACTACATGAGGAGATGGAACTGGGCTGCCTGGCCCTCTTTCTCCAATCTCTAACCACCGGGCCCCTGGGCCAGAGCCACCCAATGAACAGTGCAATGTGAAGGAAGGCAGGTGCCTGCAAGGGCGGAGACATGCCCAGCTGCCAGAAAGCACAGATTTGAACCAAGCTATTTATATGTTGTAAAGTTATAATAAAGTGTTTCTTACTGTTTGTAACCCCTGGTACCAGTGCGTCGTCTCCAGGCTCCCTGTCTTAATAAAGTCTTCCTTAGCAGTTCAGCTTGTGGAGACCTAAGTATGAACTGGGCCAGGCACAGAAGGACCAACCAGTGAAAAGACCAAAGCTGGGGTGTTCCTTTGGGCCCAGAAGGGCAATTTTAGCCCTTAGCCTGCTGACAGACCCTGTCTGCTACCTGTTCCCCACTGGCCTTTATATACCTCAGCTCCAAGGACTTTTAGGGGAAAGACCCACTGTAATTCACCAGGGGGCATCTAGTTTTACTGGTTGTATGTGCCCCAAAACTACAGCTTATGAAGGCTGTCCAGCATGGCTCCTTGGGCTACGACAGTATTTCACCTCAGTCTACAAAGTAGAACTTAGCAGAGCACAGGATTGTGTCACTTAGCTTTATTTTAGTGCTGGTTTTTGGTCCCCCAAGAACTGTTTGAGTGAATCTTGACTACCTGCCCTTGTGGACTGGGCACTGCAGGCAGGATGCCTTTGAAAAGAGCCAGAGGAATCGTGCTTATCTTGAGCACCACTGGGAAATGCCCAGGCTGAGGGCACAGTGCCACCAGGGGGAAAGAGGCTTGAGCATATTTCCCAGTGGCCCCTCAAGGCCATTATCCCCAGGCCACAGCAATTTACTAGAGCAAGCTCTTTTGGATCAGGGTTGTTCTAGCTCATTTTCCACTATACCCAATCAAGGGACCTAATCACATTAACAGGCAGCCAGAACTGCTTAATGACTGTTCACTAAAATGCCTGTAACCTCGAACTGCTCAGATTATGGTCTTTGAGTAAAAAGGACCCAATCTTGGGAGCTGCTTGGTCCTGAGTGAGCAGAAGCCAAGGGAGGATACACAGCACAGGGCTGACAGTCTCTGACCTCCCACTGCTGGAAAACGACGTTTGAGGAAGGATGAGAGAAGAAGGACCAGCCCCCTCTGCCCTGCCTCATTTGTTCCTGGCTATGCTCCTATAGGAAAGTAATAAGCAGCCTGAAACCAGTGCCTGCCTACCTGTGTCCGTGATCCTTGGTGAGCCTTCCCACTCACCCCTTTAACCAGATTGGGTAGGCACAAAGCAGAAGGCAGCCTGAAGCCCTGAGAAAAGCTTTAAACCACAAGTCTTTTGTTAGAGCAGCTGCCAGGAATTCCAGGGCATGGCTCCTGTTCTGTCAGCCCCCCAGGGCCTAGACCTGTGAAGGTCTAGGACAAGTATGTCAAACTTGAGGTCGGCAGGCCACATACCTCGTTTAAGTCAGCCGCGAGTTTGACATGCTTGGTAGGGGTTTAGTGCCTTAGGATCTGAGCAACAGTGTTTCTATGGCTGAGCTCCACCAGCTAACTTCCCAGAATTGGCCTCATTTTGGCATCTCTGAGATAAAGTGCTGGCCCCAAGCCTGTTCAGATTGGACAACCAAAAAGGGATCCGATAAGGGAGGGACATATGTCCTGCTCTTGGATGATAGCTACAGAGGGGAGGAATTGTAGGGCTATGTATGTGCTGGCAAAGGGGTGGCCTAGGACAGAAGCACTGGCTCTACTGGCTCAGCACCAGGGGCCTTGCCTCAGACTAATTAGATGCTCAGCCCCCAGCTAGAGAGGGTACAGGGTTAGGGAGCACTGCTGGCAAGATGGGCATTTTGGTTCTACAGTTAACATAACCTGTATTACCTGTGATGATGCCACCCCTTTCCTTGCCTCTCAGAGTGGTTTAGAAAGGGGGAAGGACCCTTGGGGAAAGATCCCAGAATAAAACTTGATCAGCTAAGGAGAAAAGGTAAAAAGCCTTCAAATCTGCTTGTGGTGGGGTTTAGGGGAGGCTTCACAGCCCTCCGAACAAATGGGAAGTGCAGCTCTGTCCTTTAGTGGACAGCTGCAGTGCAGTCAGCTGTACATGATCAGAGGGGAGACAAAGCCGCCAGCTCTGAACTAGAGGAAGTACAAGCCCCCAAACAGGACCTACCCAACCCTGCAAGACTTTCTCCCAGGCCCAGTGGCTGTAAACCTGAAACACAATTTGTGAGCTGCCTATGGTCTGTAAACAAGGCCCGACCTGGCCACGCAGGGGACCGAGTGTAGAAATGCCTAGAGCCGCTGCACACTCAGCCTGCCACCTGCCTCACACACCCAGTGGGGAAAGCCTTTCCTGGCGAAGGGCAGGTGACAGGTCAGCTTTAAGTACATGTTAGCAAAAGAAAAAATATATATGATCTGTCCTCTCACAGAAGAAACAAACACAAAAGAAAAAATTTAACAATAAAGGTCCATGAAGCTTCACATCCTCTTAAGGCATTCGTTGTCAAGTTCAGTGTCAGGAGCAGCAGAAACTACCAGGTCCAGCTTGTCCAGAGTCCCTCTAGGCAGAGTGTAGTGGGATTACAAACTTGCAGCCAAAGGGTGAGTGGTAGTTGATCCCCACCTCTTGGAATACCTGCTGGGGAATGCCAATGTCACACAAATAGACACGGCCCGCATGCTCTCCCAGTGGGAGAGGCAGGCCCAGAGCCAGTGACCACTTGGCATCAATGCCCTGTTCGACTTCATGCACTGGAGGATCTATGCTGAGTACTGGTGCCCGGTTCTGGTTGGCCCAAGCCACAGCTGCCTTGTACCAGGGCTGATCCCGCAAGAAGGCGTTCTCAGGACAATCCAGACAGTTGATCACCAGGTCCACGGGACTAGTGGGCAGATCTGCAAGTGGAAAAAAAATATCATCTGAAAATCCCTCTAAGCAGAGAACCTAGGTTGGGAGTAGAATCCAGGGGGCCTTCAAGTGTCTTGTTCAGACACTACTTCAGTGCTTCTCCATAGGCCAGCCTTTCTAAGGCTGGGCCGGCCGGGCGGGAGGTACCTGGAGTTCAAGACTTGGTGGGATGGATGCTAGAGACCAACAGCATGTCAGCCAGATGGACCACTGCACTCATGGAACTCACAGGCTGAAGCACTGTCCTGCTGGGTGTGCAGACCTTCTCACAACATAACCTAACTAACTTCCTGGGAATATTATGAGCTCCAGGAAGGTGGGGTCTGCCAAGTCAGCATTCACAGGGAGGCACTGATTGCCATTTGCTGACTGGCCCTAGAAGTGATCAGGCAAGAGCATGCTCACTCTACTCTACTCTGGCCTACCCTACTCACCCTGCTTGAGCCATCTGATCTAGCTGGTCTCTTCACTGGTCTCCTGGAAATGGGTCTTCCTTGCAGCCCAACGTGAGAATGGGAAGGGAGCCTATCACTTCTCCCATGCATTTAAAAAGGCTTCTCTGCGCTAACTGGGCCTCTGGGACAGTATACTAGTAAGAACAGATGTTTTAGTAAGCATGTAACTCTTGACCAAGGTAAGAGGTTAAACTGAGAATAGCAAAAGTCAGACCAAACTCAAGGCTTGCACAATTGGGGCAGGAAGCTTTTTAGGGCAACAAGAGAAAGAACTGCCTGGAATGGCATCATGTTAGAGATTACAAGAAGAGGAACTCATACCAAGCCCCCTTCCTAGCTCTCAGCCTAAAGTAATGACTTTTCTCAGAGACCTTTGGCTTCCTCACTTAGGACAGGGCACCATAGATCTGCCTGAGTGCCCACAGGCCTGAAAGTTAAGAAACTGGCTCAAGCTCTGGCTCCAACTTGCCACCTGACCCCTGGCAAAGCCCTTCCTGTGGACCACATTTGTTCTCTCCACCTTCCCACTTAAACTCACTCTGATCAGATTTTACCGCCCCCCTACTCCACTTGAAACTGCTCTTCCATACTGCTAAATCCAGTGGTCAATTCTCATTCTTAATTCAGACAATCTAGAATATCTTGCTGACACAGTTCATCATACCCACCTCTGTTCACTTGTCTTTCAGGTACCAGACCCTCCAAATTTTCCTTCTTCACTGTTCACCCCTTCTGTCTCCTTAGCTGGTCTCTGAATCTGACTCCCTGACTTGTAAACAAAGAAAACAGTCTAACAACTTCTCTATCTACTCTCTCTTCCGAGGAGATATCTTACCAGGCTCAGAATGGCTTTAAATACCACATATACACTTATAACTCTAGAATGGATCCCTCCGCTAAACTCCAGACTCATATTTACATGTATAAATTTCCACCTGTTTATCCAGCGGCACCTCTGAGTTTCTGTTCTTTCCCAAAAACTCGTCCCTCAAATCTTCCTATTTCAGTGATGGCACCTCCATCCTTCCAGTTACTTAGGCCAGTGGTCGGCAAACTCATTAGTCAACAGAACCACATATCAACAGTACGACGGTTACAATTTCTTTTGAGAGCCAATTTTTTTTTAAACTTAAACTTCTTCTAATGCCACTTCTTCAAAATAGACTCGCCCAGGCTGTGGTAATTTGTGGAAGAGCCACACTCAAAGAGCCAAAGAGCCACATGTGGCTTGCGAGCTGCAGTTTGCCGACCACGGACTTAGGCCAAAGACCTTGTAGTCACTCATTTAAAAAAAACAACTCTTCATTGTTGAGAGTATTGTTCCCCTTTCCCTCCCCATCGTCCCCCTCACAACAGGATCCAGTCCCACCCCAGGCCCTCAGCACCCTATTTATCATCTGTGTCCCTGGGTAATGCATGTATGCAATATGAGTTCTTGGGTTAATCCCTTCCTCCCCTCTCCCCTTCTTCGAGATTCATCAGTGTGTTCCATGTTCCCATGCCTCTGGTTCTATTTTATTCTCTAGTTTATTTTGTTTATTAAATTCCTTGTTCATTTGTTCTGATTTTTAGATTAAATTGTTGATATATATTGATTGCCATTTTCTTGTTCCTATTTTTTTTATCCTTTTTCCCCCTTCTTCCTCACGAAGATCCTTTAACATTTTATGTAATGCTGGTTTGGTGATGGAACTCCTTTAGCTTTTTCTTATCCGTGAAGCTCTTTATGTGACCCTCAATTCTACATGATAGCTTTGCTGGTTGTAGGTCCTTGCTATTCATCACCTTGAGTATTTGTTGCCACTCCTTTCTGGTCTGCAAAGTTTCTGTTGGAAAATCAGCTAACAACTGACTGCTTTTCTCTTGCTGCTTTTAAGATTGTCTTTAACCTTTGGCATTTTAATTCTGATGTTTCTCAGTATGGGCCTCTTTGGGTTCCTCTTGTTTGGAACTCTGAGCTTCCTGGATTTGTAAGTTTATTTCTCTTACGAGGTAGGGGGAGTTTTCTGTCATTATTTCTTTAAATGGGTTTTCAATAGCTTAGTCTCTTTTTCTCTGGCATCCCCATAATGTGAATGTTGGTACATTTGAAGTTGTCCCAGAGTCTCCTTACACTATCTTCATATGTTAGGATTCTTTTTTCTTTTTGCTCTTCTGATTGGGTGGTGTTTTGCTTCCTCATATCCCAAGTCATTAATTTGATTCTCAAAATCCTCTACTGTTGAAGCCCTGTAAATTATTCTTGATTTCTGACTGGACTTTTTTTGTCTTTGATATTCTCATTAAATTCCTTAAATAATCTCACCAAGTTCCCTGAAGGCTCTTTGAGTCCCCTAAAGCTCACATTAGGATCCTTAAGTAACCTTATTACCATGGTTTTGAACTCTGTATCTAGTAGTTTGTTTGCTTCCATTTCTTTCATTTGTGACATGTTTCTTTGTCTCCGAATTTTGGCTGCTTCTATATGTTTGTTTCTATGTATTGGGTAGAGCTGCCATGTCTCCTGGGAAAGGTAGAGTGGCCTGTGTAGTAGGTGTGCTGTAGGGCCCAGTGGCTCAGCCTCCCAGTCACCTCAGCTGGGCACTCTAGGTCCACCCCTGTGCGGCTGTGTGCACAGTCTTGTAGTTGAGCCTTGATTGCTATTGGCGTCACTGGGAGAAATTGACCTCCAGGCCAATCAGCTGTGAGGACCAGCTGCAACTACAGTGGGAGAGCTGCTGTGCAGGAGACACCCCACGAGCAGGACTTGCTTCAGTGGGCTCTGGTGCTCACTGAGTCTGCCCTTGAGTGTGTCTCTTGTGGATGTGTAGGGTTGTAATCTGATATGGTCTGAAGCTGTCCACAGGTGCACCAGGGAAGTGCAGTTAGCCTCTGCCTGGGGCCACCCAGCTATAAAGATCTGCAGATGGCTGCTATTTTGTATTGGGCTCGGAAGTGCATAGGTGAGGCCTAGCTGTGAAGCAAGGCAGGCTGCTGCTATTGCCAGGCCTGGAGCCACTGATTGAGAGTATGGAGTACATTGAGGCCGGCTGCTGCTTGTTAAATTTTAGAAAAGTCTGAAGCCTGAGCCAGCACAAGCCGTTCATATAGAAAAGCCACTGCAAACAGTTTGGGTGAGGGCTGCAAATTGGGTGGGGCAGGGTCACAGGGAATCACCAGGGTTGGACGAACAGTATAGTCCAGGTTGATGGAGACTCAGATATGGTGATGCCTCTTGGCACTGTGGTGGGGAGGTAGGTTTCAGCAAAGGAACAATGGCCTCTGCCAGCACTTCTGTCTGGAAGAAAGCTGACCCCCAGTTCTTGTGATCCCAGACAATTTAGTTCCTCTCCGTATGTCCCTGGATTCTTTCAAGATACTGCCTGGGTTCCCAGTAGCCTCTGTGTCACTCAGCCACAATTCCTGCTGGTTTTTACAGCCCTGAGTTATTGAGACTTCTCTTCCCAGTACTGGTATCCTGGGTGTAGGTGTCTGGGACCCCTTGCTCCTCACGGGAGAGCTTCTGTGGCCAACATATCCCTCCTGGTTAAAAACATGCCACAAGTGGGTGTCAGACTAGACCAGTGGTCGGCAAACTCATTAGTCAACAAAGCCAAATATCAACAGTACAATGACTGAAATTTCGAGAGCTAATTTTTTAAAACTTAAACTATATTGTTATTAACTTAATTAGGGTACTCTTAAGCTGGCCTTTGCTAAAAACTCAAGGGGCCAAAGAGCCGCATGTGACTCGCAAGCCGCAGTTTGCCAACCACTGGACTAGACTATTCCATGCCTCCACCCCTCCTACCAGTCTCAATGTACTTGCTTTAATTCCCTAGTTGTAGGACTTCCATTCAGCCAGATTTCAGGTGATTCTGAATGACGGTGGCTCTGTGATTAATTTTGATGTGGAACCTGAGCTAGATTATATCTTTCTTCTACTTATGCCTCTGGTGACTTTATACCTCACCCTAGTGAAAGTTCAGACCCTTACAGCGATCCATTCATAGGCTCTTGATGACCTGATGTGGAAATATCTGTGTCTGCTGCTCCTTACCCAACCCTCAACATACTCTGCTCTGCTTTATTTGTTTCCAAAATACTACAAAAAAAATGTTACTTATTCATCTGTCCTAACCAGAATGTTAAGCTCCATGGAAGCATGAATTTGAGAAAATCAAAAACAAAAAAACTATTGCTTTATCCCTTGTGTCAGGAACAGTGAGTGCCTGTTCCATTAATATCTGTGAAATGAATAAATGGGTCAACAGCTCTCTGAGTATGGGAGGATGAAGGGATGGGAAGTAGGCAAGTCAACACCAAAGTAGTTCCCATTTGTACTATGACTCTTCAACAGGCAGAGCATTCCTTATACACAAGGTGTTTTTCCACCTGTCGCCACTGGGCAGTACAATCAGACGATCAAACTGAGGAGGGAGGCAACCTCAGCCCAGCCTTGTGCAGCTGCTCACCTTTGAGACTAGACACTTGTAGGCCTTGGGTCTTGCTGAAGAGAGACAGCTCATTGGTGATGGACTCGAGCATCTTGACAAAGTTGGGCAGGAAGAGGATCACCTGGACATCATGGTTGGCTAGGTGCCTTCCACAGCTGATACCCTGAGCCCCCTTCACATGGGGCCCACATAGCAAAGCCACTGTAGGCCTCTGGTGAACATTTTTGGGATTCAACCTGGAACAGAGGTAAAGACACATTCTCAATTGCAGACCTGGCAATCCCTTGCACCCTCAACCAAGAGAGTGCCTCGGCTCTCAGGGTTCCTGATGGTCCCAGGTTGCAGAGGTCTATAGCGTGTCCCATATCCCAGTGTCACTTCATATACTGGATCTTCTCACTAGGTAGTAAATCGAGATTTTGTTCCATAGAACACTTTTCTTACCAAGAACATTTACTGTTCTCACAGTGTGAACCTATTAGGTCCAAACTCTGTTTAACCTCAGCAGCCTTCTTTACTTTTCTTCCCCAACATGCCTGCCCAACTGCAGTTAAGTCTGGTCTCATCATTCTCTCCTGCACTTGTAAAGCTTTTTCTTGATTCTGCTCAAACTGTGTTCTCTGCCCAGAAAGCCCACATTTTCTTTGTGCTCCAGCTTAAGGCTCATCTTTTCCAGGATTAATTACTCTGGATCAGCTTCTAAGAAACTCACAGTAAGCACCGGATGGGATAATTCTAAATTGTCCTCCATTGGTTACCAGTCCACATTCTCTTTACTGAGCTGGCAGTAAGCTTTAATAAGGGCAACTTTGTAAATACTAATAGGCCCAACTTCATAGGATGCTGTGTGGATCAGTTCAAAGACAGAGCCCAACACACAAAAAGTGCTCATAGATCTTGGCACTATCATAGTACTGGTCATAGAGGAGGCAACAAGCTAGAGGTTTCCCAGCCTCCTAGGCTGGCAATTGACTTGGACACCACTTTCTTATGACATCACCTTTAGTTTCCTCTCAGGTTTCAGAGAAGCCACACGTAAGGTAGAAGGATTGGCCCTGAAGGTGTGCCCAACCCAAAGGCAGTACAGTCTGGGAATGTACAGAAACAGACTTAGGTCCCTGTTTGGTGTGGAGCAGTGACAATTACTTACTGGTCTCCAAAGGGAGAAAGATGACAGTGCTGTCAGACCAAAGAGGAAATCCCTATCCTCTGAATAAATCTGGGGGAATACCATTCATTTCTTCTATATTTGTATCTTAAGGAAATAGGAGTACTGCCTTCAGACAGACACTGCATAGTTCTGGCATATGATTCACCTATGTCTTTTTCCTAAATGGACTTTCCCTCTCACAGAGGCATTCCCCCATCAGAGGACTCAAAGCAGACCATAGTACCAACACACACAATAGTAGGGAGCAGAGCACAAGCACTGGAAACAGATCTGTCTATATCGGACACCTGGCTCCATGTATGAGCAGGGTCACTTGGGCAAGTCTTTGGCTCTAGCTCTGAGCCTTAGCTGGTTCATCTTAGAACTCTAGACAGTGAATAAGTGCATGGTCGCTGTAGCCAGTTTGGTTTAGTGGGTACAACATCAGCCCATGGACTGAAGAGTCCTGGGTTCAATTTTGATCAGGGGCACGTACCTCAGTTGTAGAGCTCCATCCTGGCCATGGTTGGGTAACATGCAGGAGACAACCAATTGATGTGTCTCTCTCACATCAATGTTTCTGTCTCTCTCCCACTCTCTTCCACTCTCTCTAAAAAATCAATAAAAAAATATCCTTGGATGAGGATTAACAACAACAAAAGGTACATGATCTTTGATATACATGAAACTGCTTACTAAGTGGTAATCTTTCTCAAAGGAAAACCAGCAAATGCTGCAAAGGACAAGGAACAGTTTTCTGAGAGTTCATATAGGCACAAGGACAGCCACCTCCAAGAAGCTGGCTTGAGAGGAGTATAACTACTGTTTTTGGAAAGCCACTTAATGGCCTCAAATACTCCTATGAAGAACTCATTCCAGGAGCTGCCCCAATGGCCAATTTTGGGGAGGTGCAGCAGTCACCAGAACCAAGGGCCTGGTACTCCATCAGAGGGCAGCTTGCACCATTTCCTCCTTTGGGGACGCGCGCGCGCGCGTGTATGTGTGTGTGTGTGTGTGTGTGTGTGTGTGTGTGTGTAGGTGGGGGTGAGGAACTGGGTCTCCGTTGCTTCTTTGTGGCATAGGAGAGGCCAGGAATCCAGCACAGTTGAGAAGCAAGCCTAAAGCAAGGGCAAGGAACAAATACACCTACAACTCTATAAGGCAAGGTGAGTGGAAGAATAAGAAGGGGAAACCAACCTCATGTTCACTTTAGACACCTCTCTCCCACAAGGTTGCCACTGTCCTCTTTATTGACAAATCCAGCAGACACTTGTCAACTCTAATTCTGCTTGATATCTCAGCAGTACCAATGCTGACCGTTCCTTTATTCTTCAAACACTATTTCTTGGGTTCTGAGGCACTATCCTCTTAATTTTCTTAATTCTCTAGCTTTCTTTCAGCCATTTTGGAAGGCTCCAGATCACCTAACTATGCCTTTAGTGCTGATGTTTCCCAGAATTCCACCCTAAGCCCATCCTTTTTTTATACTCTCTTTGTAGAATATCTAATCTATACCATTTATGAGCTGATGACTTCCAGATCTCTATCTTCTGCTCAGACTGTCTTTTAAACCACAGATGGCTAATAGTCTGTTTGGCTATTTCACAGGCCTCTCAAACTTAACCTATCCAAAACAAGATCCACCATCTCCTCCATCACAATGAATGTTATCACCATCCAACAAGATATCCATGTTGGAAAGCTTGAAGTTCAGAGACTACAGACTTCACTTTTCATCACCTCCAACATTCATTCAATGGCCCTGCCCTGATTCTATACTTAAAGATAAAACAAAACCCTTCACCTATTTCCCCTTTCTCTGATCTCTACTTCCCTGGTTGAGGCCACCATCATTTAGCCCCTAGCTCAGTTTTCTGTTACAGTTTGCTAACTGGTCTCAATATCTCCAGTCTTGCCTCCACTTAATCTACTCAGCCTAAGTCATCTTTGTAAAACCCAAGACTAATGTCACAACCCTACTGAAATCCCTTCAGCAGCTCCCTACTGCTCAGTTGCACCAAGCCCTATTTTCCAGCCATACTTAATGACTTAAGCCCTCCTCACCTTCCACAGTCTCTCAATTCTCTCTGCTGTTGGCATATGCTACTCGGTAGATCTAGACTACTTTTCTCCATTCCTGCTGTCACTGTTAAATGGCCCTTCCTCTGCAGAACTCGGCTTGGATGCCCCTGCTCCAGGAAGGCTGACTGGCTTCTTCCTGGAGTAGGAAAAAATGTGGCTTGCTGGAGAATCTTCTTTTTCCTCTACCACAGCATCGTACTTTTTGGAGGCCCCATTAGGCTACTAGAGGGCAGAAGCAGTGTTTTCTCCTTCTCTGTATCCCTAGTCTTAGCACAAGGCTGGTACACTGTATCAGTAAATATCCACAAATAAAATTAAGCACTGCTCCAGACATATAAACTGAAATGGTAGGTGTGAAGATACCAAATTCCAGCTCTCCCACCCAACTGCGAGGGTGGTTTTGGAAGTTCTCAGGTATGGAACTCAGGATCGATTTGTACCCCAGCCCCTTTTGAATGACAAGTGCCAAAGGCTGGATTTCTGAAGGTTCTGAGAAGGCAGGCCTCTGGCAGTCAGCAGCAATCTCAAAGCCAGCTCTTATCAGGAAAGAAAGTCAAAAGGTGGCTTGCTGGGAGAAAAATGAGGACTCACAAGAGATGGGTTAGAGAAGCAAACAGAAACCTCCAGCATCTAAGAAAGTTACTTCATAAAGGCATTCCCATTAGACAAGCAGGAACTGTCTAATGAATGCCTCTTGTGTGAGGCTCCGTGGTGGGGTCCAAGCAGAACAGCATCAACCCACACTCATCACCCCCCCCCCCCCGCCAATCTGGAGGCATTTACCTGTTGGGTCCTCCGAGTAGAGTCAGTGCCATCTGACTGGCACACACGCCTGTCATCTCCAGTCTCCGCTCCAGAGTCAACCCGTGCTTTTCAGCCACAGACAACAGCTTTTTATGTAGCTCATAGGAAACACTTGGGACAACCAAGCCAGAGTCTGCAGTTCAAAAGGAGGTGTGGAGAGAAAGGGGCAGTGATTACAGGAAATCAGATTCACAAATGTGTGTACTCAATCCAGAATTTTATGAAAGCCAAGTCTTTTAAACTGACCCTCCCTGATCCATCTGCCTCAGCTGGGACTGAGACTTGCTATATACAGCCCCAGAGGCTCAAGCAGTGGATGGGAAACAGAGAAACAGCTTATTCAGGTTTCCACAGAGCAGGGTTTGAGAAGCTATGACCACAAAGACCAAATCTACAAGATATATTAGGTACTACTAAGAAAAGGCTGGCAAAGAGCACGTAATAGTAACTTATGAACCACATTAGAAGAGAACATGCTTGTCCCAGTGAGAAAAGCTGTCCTGGCAGTGAGGTTTTCCTTACAAACAAACCCCTTATCCTTCCCCAGAAGTGGAATAAACATGACCTAACCCTCCTGATCCTCTGGTACCACTAGTCAATTTCAAGGCAGGATGACTTGTTCACCCCATCTACTCCCCACTTCCTCCTCCTCTCCTCTACTTACCCTTCCTCTTTGTAAAAAATTTCAACTAGCAACTTGTTTTCTCAAAGAATTTGTCATTTTCTGCCTTTTTGGGGTGAATGTGATCCAATAATCATATCTCAGGGAAAGAGTATATGGAAAGTAACCCATGGCTTGCCTTAAACTACTCAGAAGAATCTTGAACATTTTATTCACCATAAATAAAGAGAACTCTAGAAAGATTAGAGACTCACAGTCACTGCAAGTAATTGGTTTTAAATGCCAAAGTCTGCAGCAGCTGATACTTTTGAAGTCTATCTATAATAATAAATGAGCAATATGCTAATTAAACTGAACAGCCAGACAACCTTCCAGACAAGTCAGGGCTGCGAGGGATGAAGCAAGTGGCCACTGCTGTGAGGGCCGAGCCCCTTGCATGAATTTTGTACATTGGGCCTCTAATCCATCCATCCATCTTCCTTTCTTCCTTCCCCTCCCTTCCTTCCCTCCCTTCCTTCCCTTCCTTCCCTTCCCTCCCTCCCTTCCCTTCCCTCCCTCCCTCCCTCCCTCCCTCCCTCCCTCCCTCCCTCTCTCCCTCCCTCCCTTCCTTCCTTCCAGGCTAATATGCTAAGTGTCCTTCTCACCATCCAACTGGCCGCTATGACGTGCACTGACCACCAGGGGGCAGCCACTCAATGTAGAAGCTGCTGTGATGTGCACTTGCCATTTATAGAAAAACAGCAGCACGGACCTGGGGTTGACAAAGCAACACTCAGCTCTGCCCAAGTGGGACACAGGTCCTGCCACCACCCTGGAGCAACAGACCATCAAATCGCAGCCGAGAACCATGGTGCAAAATGTGGCCCACAGCCCAGCCCAGAAATGATGGCTGTAAGCACCGGGTAATGATGTCATGTAGCAACGCTCGACTTCCTCCCCCCAGCAACAGGCTATCTATCTATCATCTATCTATCTATCTATCAATCTATCTATCTATCTATCTATCTACCTACCTACCTACCTACCTACCTATCTATCTATCTATACACACACACACACACACACACACACACACACACATACACACACACATATATATATGCCCAATATGTGAATTGTCCCTCCAACCGTTCAACCAGTCACTATAATGTGCATGGACCACCAGGGAGCAAACTCTCTGATGGGTAGTTTGGCTTGCTGCTGGGATCCAGCCCAATGGGACTGGGCGAGATGGGCCGGACATGTCCTGGAGTTCTCCCACATTCCTTCCCCAGCCCTGACTGTGCACCGCTGGGATCCCTGGGCCTGGCCTGTGTGCCCTCTTGCAATCTGGGATCCCTTGGGGGATTTTGGAGAGCCGGTTTCAGCCTGATCCCTGCATGCCCCTAATTTAACAATAAAGGGCACTACAGACCTGGAGCCCACAAAGCAACCACACCAGGGAGTGACAGCCCACCAAATTGCAGCCAATTGCTGCCGAGACCCCATGACGCAAAATGCGGCCCAGAGCCCAGCCCAGAAATGGTGGCTGTGGGCACCAGGTAATGACATCACATAGCAACACCCAGCTTCCTCTTCCTAGCAACTAGCATCCTTGCAGTTTCTTCAGTACAGGAACATGATTTGCTTTATAGCCAGGTGCAAACCCTTCACACTTTAACCAAACGTCTATGAAGTGTTTTGATGTGCCCCATCTCATTGATTCTCACAGAAGTCCTGGAGTAGGTGGATAGGAAACTTGGTGGAATCCTATTTTCTTTTCATTAACTGGAAAATGGAGATTTATAAAGTTTAGAAACTTGACCCAACTGAAAAGAAGTAAGAAATGGTGGACCTTGAAAATGACTTCAGGTTTTCTCACTGAGCAGAATATAGTCAAACACTGCTGCAGTTAAATATTTTACTCTTTGTTCTCCTTGCATGATCTACAATAATAATCTGCTCCATGTTGATATTTACTGCTGTGTTGCTGACAAACCCGAAAGAGAAGTTGGGGTGCTTCACTGGGTTGGAAAAAGTTTAGCTACATCAGAAAGTAAGTCTAATTAAGCAAGTTTATTCTCTCTATATAAAAGGCCAAATTGACTTGTGCATGCACAATACATATAAAGCCCTCGCTAGCGTCCACTGCACATGGGTATTACTATCTGTCATTGTTGATCATAAATTTGGTTGACACTTCTATTATAGAGAAAAGGCGAATAGCAATATTAAAGTATTTCTTCTGATCAATTTCCTTCCAATGTGCACGAATTTGTGCACTGGGCCACTAGTAGTATTATATGCATCAGTATCAACACACATGTGCCATTTCAGGGCCCAGACAACCAGGACAGGAAAGAAACAGCAAAGTCAAAGACTTCACTGCATAGGTCTTTCAGAAAAAAGAAAATCAATAAGGAAACAATGACTCTATAAATGACATACTGGGTCAAATGGATTTAACTGACATTTACAGAACACTTCAGCCCAAAGATGCAGAATATACATTCTCCTAAAGTGCACATGGGTCATTCTCAAAGATAGACCACATGTTAGGACACAAGCTAAATCTTTACAAGTTCAAGAAGACTGAAATCATACCAAGTACTTTCTTGAATCACAATGGCCTGAAATTAGAAATCAACTACAGTAAAAACACTCAAAAACATTCAAACATAAAGAGGTTAAATAGCATGTTAATAAATGGATTATCAATGTGATCAAGCTTTCTGTAAACAAATGAGAATGAACACACAACAACCCCAAATCTAGGGGTCACAGTGAAAGCAGTCCTGAGAGGGAATATCATAGAACTACAGGCCTATTTCAAAAACAGGAAAATTTTTTATTTTTATAAATATATTTTATTGATTTAAAAAATATATATTTTATTGTTTTTACAGAGAGGAAGGAAGAGGAATAGAAAGCTAGAAACATTGATGACAGAAACATTGACCAGCTGCCTACTGCACATCCCCTACCGGGGATGTGCCCACAGCCAAGGTACATGCCTTTGACTGGAATCGAACCTGGGACCCTTCAATCCGCAGGCCAATGCTCTTTCCACTGAGCCAAACCGGTTTCAGCAAAAACAGGAAAATTATTAATAAATTATTTAACCCTACAACTTAAAGAATTAGAAAGAGAACAACAAGAAAATCTCTGAGTAAGTATAAGGATGGAAAAAATAAAGACCAGGGTAGAAATAAATGACACAGAGCCTAAAAACAAAACAAATAAAAAGATCAATGAAACCAAGAGCTGGTTCTTTGAAAAGATAAATAAGATTGATGAACCTTTAGTCAGACTCATCAAGAAAAAGGATCCAAATAAATAAAATCAGAAATAAAAGTAGTAAAGTAACCAACTGACACCACAGAAATACAAAGGATTGTAAGAAAATACTATGAATAATTATATGCCAACCAGCTGGAGGATGTGGATGATATGGACAAATTCCTAAAAAAAAAAAAAAAAATACAATCTTCCAAAACCGAATCAGGAAGAATCAGAAAACTTGAATAGGCCACTAACAACTGAGGAAATAGAAGCAGTAATAAAAAACAAAAACCTCCCAGCAACACCAGCTGGTTGGGCTCAGTGGATAGAGCATCAGCCTGTGGACTGCAGGGTCCTGGGCTCAATCCCAGTGAGGGGCATTCAGGAGGCAGCCAATCAATGATTCTCTCTCATCATTGGTGTTTCTGTCTCTCTCTCTCCCTCTCTGAAATCAATAAAATATATTTTTAAAAACACACGCATGAGTAAACAACAACAAACTCCCAGCAAACAAAATCTCTGGTACAGATGGTTTCACAGGGCAGTTTTACCAAACATTCAAAGAAAGCTAATACCTAACTCTTCAAACTATCCAAAAAAATTCCAAGAAGGGACATTTCTAAGCTCTTTTATGAGGTCAGCATTATCCTAATTCCAAAACCAGATAAAGACACTATAAAGAAAGAGAATTACAGGCCAATATCCCTGATGACTACAGATGCTAAAATCCTCAACAAAATATTAGCAAATCAAATCCAGCAATCCATATAATAAAAACCCAGTGATTGTAATGCTGTAACAACCAAAGACAGGTTACTAGGAGGTGCACTGATGGGTCCCGAAGCACGCCAGGACTGGGTCTTGTGCGATTTCGCACACTGGGCCTCTAGCATATTAAAAAGATCATACACATGACCAAGTGGTATTTATTCCAGGAATGCAAGGCTCATACAATATTCACAAATCAATAAACATGATACACCACCTAAACAAACCGAAAGGCAAGATTCACATGATCATATCAACAGATGTAGAAAAAGTATTCTACAAAATCCAACACCCATTTTTGACACCCACTCTCAGCAAAGTGGGAATAGAGGGAGCATACACCAACATAATAAAGGCCATATATAAGGAACCTACAGCGAACATCATACTGAATAGGCAAAAATTACAAGCATTTCCCCTAAGAACAGGAACAAGGATGTCTGATTTCACCACTCTTATTCAACATAGTTCTGGAAGTCCTG